CATTAAATAATAAACTATTTTTCCGAAATCGCTATAAACAATGATATAATTCCAAGCGTATCAGAAAATTTATAAATATATTTTAAATATTAAAATTCTATTGCACATTTACCTCCTTTTGTAAATACCAATATTTGATCTCTTTCCTTATATTGGTTTATTTATTTAATCACAACTCTTGAAATGCTTGAAAAAATACATTATAGCTATTTTCGATCACTTTCTAATGCGTTAGTTACACCGGTGACTTTGATATATAATGTGACTACTGAAATATCTAGAATCTAACTTAAACTGTAAAGTAATTTAAACCATAATCAAATAACAAAAAAAAAGATAAACTAAAATAAACAGAATCCTGAATAAGGTCGTATTAAACATGTTCAGAACTATCTTTAAATTCATAAAAAAAGAAAAAGATTTAAGAGAAAAAAAAAAAAAACCCCCTATTACGCCATTCAAAGTCCTGCTATATTAAATTTATAGAATTGTCTAACGACGTATCTGAAGGTTCAAAAATGACTGTAATATAAATAAATAATTATTAACAATCTGGTCAAAATTGACTCCTTGAGTTTCTATGCAATAAAGTAATTTCATATAAAAATTAAAACTACCTTGAGTGATTGATTTATTAGTAATAATATGCCATGCCCAACAAACAATAAAAAAAAATCAAAGCAAGCTTATAAGGCAACGGCATATAAGCATAATATTAATGTTAATAATTCTGAAGCAGAAAATTCTGATAACTTTTCTTATGATGAGGCGGTTGAGAATAACAATGCCGCAAGTATTGTAAAAAAACTTTAAGCTGCAGCAAACAATTATTATAGCGATAATAATGTGCTAAAAAATTATGATAATGAAAGTCTTTTTGCTCATGATGAGTTAATTGAAATTGAGAATGATAATGCTGAAGGTTTTGCAAAAACACTTTTAAATACAGCAAATACCTTTTATCATGAAAGTGATTCTAATAAATCCCGTAGGCTGCGCTACTTAGGAAACTCTATCCATACTAAAAGAAGAAAAAGACAGCAACAGCGTGAAGCAGCAAAAGAAATGCCTACATTGTTTACCTTTTGGAATCAAGACAAGACTGCTGAAGAAGATATTGAAGTAGAATTGTCTGATGATGGATGGCTGGATAAAGTTGATGAAGTTGATACTGGAAGGCTATCAGAAGATGAGATTGAAACCTCTAATTGGTATAAAAAAATTCAAACCACACTTGAAAACATAACACTAGATATCAAAAATGAGAATGTAAATAGTAAAGTTTGGGTGCGTCTTAATAGTATTCGCTTTTATCTTTAACTTATAAAACACAATCATCGAAAAATGAAAGCAAGTAAGATAGTTGCAGATGCGGCAGGGAAAGGGGTATACCATGCTAGGTATATTCGTTTTTTGGTCACATGAGTATGTTATGACCTATCAAAATTCCTTATTCGCGCCGAGAACACCATGCTAAAACGTGGAGCTTTCTTTGGGACAAAGATATTCTTCTTCAAATCAAGTCGTATGTTCGAGAAAATAAGTGGAATATTACTCTACATATGGTTATGCTACAGATGAATGAAGTTATTTTACCAGGGCTCAGATTTGCACCACCACCAACCATTTCTTTTAATACTGCAAAAAATTATCTGAAAGAGCTTGGTTATGTATATAAAAGAGTAAAAAAGGGTATTTACATCGATGGACATAAGAGAGAAGACGTAGTAGCCTATCGAAAAATATTTTTAGAACGAATAAATGAGCTTGAACATAAAATGCCTGTATTTTCAGATGAGGATATGGAAGTGAAAACCTGGCCAGATAGTAGTGTACAGCTGCTTATTCTTATTACACATGATGAATGCGTCTTTTCAGCTTATGATGGAAGTCGAAGTCTCTAGATTCCTGAAGGGGAACAACCTTTAAGAAAAAAAGGTGAGGGACGTTCAATTCATGTCAGTGAATTTCTTACAGATGTTCGTGGCCAACTTTTGCTTTCTGAAGAAATGCAACCATCAGATACGCTTCCTAGAGAAGCTTGTGTTATTATATGTCCTGGCAAAAACAATGATAGATGGTGGAAATCCGAAGATTTGATTGAACAAGTATCCAACTGTGCCATTCCTATATTTGAAGCCTGTTTTCTGGGATATCAAGCATTATTTGCATTTAACAATGCAAAAAGTCATACTACTTATACATCTGATGTACTTGTTGCAAAGAATATGAACCTTAGTTCTGCTAGAAAACAAGAAAAAATACACAGTACATCATATTTTCGTGGAGGAATAAAAAATGATCAGGATATGGTATTTCCGTTGAATTATCACATCCCTAAATTACGTGGAGAGGCTAAAGGATTAAAACAAGTTTTAAGTGAGAGAGGATTGTGGCCAGAAAAAGGATTGAAATTACAAGAAGCTCGAGAATTAATGGGTCAACAGCCAGATTTTCTGGTACAAAAATGGCAGTTGGAGGAAACCATTATTGCGGCTAGGCATCAAATTGTGTTTTATCCCAAATTTTATTGTGAGCTCAATTATATTGAGAACTTCTGGGATGCTGCCAAAAAATACAGCCGGGCAAATTGTAATTACTCATGGAAAGGATTACAAAAAACCGTTTCATTAGCTCTCGACTCTGTCCCACTCCCAACTATTTGCGATATGCAAGAAAAGCCTTTCGCTATATGGATGCATATCAAAAAGGTTTAAAAGATAAAGCGGCAGAATTTGCTGTTAAAAAATACCACTCACATCGTCGAATTCCTGAATTTGCTTTAAGTTCAATTGAAGTTGATTAGTTGATATTTCTTTTGCATAACAAATTTATTATTCATAAATTACTTACCCTACTAAAACTTGGCTACCTTTGTGTATACGGTTAAAATATATAATTTGGCCGCCTTTGTATGTATAAGTATGC